AAAGAGTTATGGCAGTCACATATTTATAGTTGTGAAAATTGGAAGTTACCTTCCGAAGAGTCACATCCTTTCAAAGAAAAGGTAGTTACCTTTATGGAAGGACACATCCTTTCACAGAAAAAAGGGAGTTACCTTTCTGGAAGGACACTTCTTTTCACAATATTCAAACGTTAATTAATTAATATAAAATTGATTAATTAATTAAATAAATTTCCAAAAGACTCCATCTTTATAATTTACTTCTCCCATCAATTTCGTATTACAACTCTATTGACTAACTCTAACAATCCCCCACTTAGTCAACAAGAGTTGAGAATACCTGCCTCGAACAAGTAACGCATACATAAAGGTATCTTTTCGATTTGAACCTTTACCTAGTGTAAGCAACTCAAAGTTGATAACGAATCAGTGACGGGCTTAAGCCTAGGAGTCACGATCCAAAGCTATAACCGAAGATGTCACACACGTACTTGTCTCTTCTCTAAACCACAACCACCAACTAGGGTAGCACTATTATGGCCATGTGTTAATCATGTTTCATGAGCATACACAAAAGTTGAGCTCTACCTTTGTCAGAGCGACACCACTCTTACTGCTCACATAGGTGACATTCCAAATGAATTCATTAAGAGTTCTATAACTCATCTCAAGAGTTCTATAACTCACCCTTCTTTGGACTAATTTACTTGTACAATAAATTAGTACCTCTGTTAGAGTAACTTGTTATAACCACATTGAACCTTTTAATTAGTGAATACCTTAAAAAAAGGTTGGGTTCCCATTACTTCTAACTACACAAAAGGTCTCAATCCCTTCCCTTGGGGATCTCATAGATCATGCCTCTTGGCTATCCCTTGACAAAAGGATCTGCCAAATTATTGCTTGATCTTACATACATGATATTAGTAATCATATACTAAAGTAACCATGTCTTAGGCTAATATGTCTAGACTTACCATTGTAAATCTTGTCAAAGCTATAGACAAAGTAGCCTCACTATCACAACAGACAGAAATGGCCGACATCAGTTGTGGCCACAACTCGATATCTAACAACATCTTTCTTGCCTCGTTTCCAACCGCCGCAAGGGCTAGGAATTCATCTTCAATAGTAGAGTGTGTAACACACGTTTGTTTCTTCGAAACCCAAGAAACAACTTCATCGCCTAGTGTAAAAATCCACCTGTTGTAGATTTATTATCACTAACACTTGTTATCCAACTGGCATAAAAAATATCTCCCCCACAATTCTACCATTTGCCGAACTATCCATGGTTTAACTTATTGAACTTTCAAAACCACTATATTGATCTAATTGTTTACCAATGGTATGGACTAATTGAATTAGCATACCACAAACAATTCAGATATTATTAGAGATATCATCTAATTACTTCCCAATGGTATTGGTCAAAGCAATTTGAGATGCCACAAGTAATTCAGTTGCATTTCCAGATTGTATTGGAAATACCATCCAATTACTTACCAATGACATTTCATGAATGTAACTTGACATATACCACAAGCAATTCAAATGAATATTCTAAGTTAATCGTTTAATTACTTGCCATTGGTATATATTTCATAAATATATCATAAGTAATTCACACTTTAAGTTCAATAAGCTCATCTCAATTGAGCTCTCATGCCAAATTGTTTTCCAATGGTATAGTGTACGTATACCATAAACAATTCTGACAAATAGCTTCACATAATAATCATACGTCAAATTGTTTTCCATGTTTAACTTGATGACCACCATTATTTGGTAAGCGTATTCAATCCCTATAAGGATCCATCTTAGTTTCCTTTTCCAAGACATAAATCACATACATGATAAACAAACTATCATGTCGGGGAACGCTTTTCACCATTATTTCAATTTACTTCAAGATCACAACTCAAACAATTTTGTTACATAACCAAATTTTTGCATCTTGCAAGCATCAAAATTGAAACTCATACAAATTTTGGTGACAAAATTTGTTTCAAGAATTCAAACACAATTGAATTTTCTTGAAATCATCTCATGTCTCATCTCAAATACTGCAAAAGGTATTTGACCTTACTAACCAAACCGAGTTTGATTAATGGACAACAACCATGCATATATCATCCAATGCAACTTTTGCCATATGTTCTAGAAAGACTTCAAATTGAAAAGGGACAGAGTAAATACCCGACTTCGGAAATGATAGCCGAGTGCTTCTTTCTCTTCTCCAGTAACTAACCAACCATTGAAGCATACAAGAACCATGAATCCAAAACGTATATACATCATGCTTCATGACTTCCTTTCTTCCTTAATTTCCAGTACAGGATCCGAATATATATAGGTATATATCACAGTCGGAACCAAATTTCCAACAGAACCAAGTTCCTTCCTTTCTTTCTTTCATTGTTGAAACAGAACAACCATATATATTCTACGCATATATATCACAAACAAATATATACATAACATATATAAACCACTCTTAAAATCCAACCGACCTCTTATATAAAGGAACTAGTTACAACTTACAAGGAACCGAGCATTCCTTTCCAATAAGAGGCGAATTCAATATAACCCGAACATTGAACTCACCGAAAATGATAAACAATCAAATTCTATGATTCAATTTTCTTTTGGAAATTAACCAGCAATTAGATAAGAATTACACCCAAAGTTAGAACATGTACCTATTTTCGACGACTAACGAATGACACCTTTTCCTCTTCGAGAACCAACCAAGTAGAGAGATGGAGATGAAGCATTGCAGTATGAAACAACGTATTATTTCATGCCCCAACTCAAGCTCCGGAAATCAAAGAACATAGCAAGACGGCGTGAACCATACTCGTTGAAATTAGAAGCATACGCCTTCAACGTACTCTCCACTCCAGAATCCATCTACACAATAAATAAAAGCCAAATGAGAAAACGTGAAGCCTCATTTCAAATTTCCTGCATCCAGAGTGAAAGTAGGAAGGACATTTTGGTCTTCACAATTACTTTTTTTTTATTCATTAAAAAGACACTTACTAGGATTCGAACCATGACCACTTTAAAGAAAAGCAAAGATCATAACCAATAACACTAAGTACATTTGTTGTATCTTTTTAAATTAAAAACATATAATCGCAGAGAGAAAAAAACCCTTCCTCCATTTCAATTTCCCCGCTCCAAGAGCGTTTGTAGGAAGAGTAGAATATGAAGCGTCAATTTTTTTCTTTTTCCTTTGTGGAACGGGCCAACTTACCGTACACATGCAGATTTAAACAGGTCCAAGAGTGTCAAATTTTTTCTTTAAGTAATTTTATTTCTCCGTGGTGGTAAAATATATATGAAAAGACAAAAACAATACTCCTTTTTATTGCTAAAAGAAAAAAATTAATGATAAACTAATGTATGGATTCTAATGGGCTAACCGCTAATCATAAAATAAAAGAGTTGAATGGCCTGACCTACACAGGATTTGCCCATCAAGTAAAACAAATGAACATCATGAGTTTGTCATTCTAAAACAAGCTATTTTCTCTAGCATAATATATATTATGCTATTATTTTATATCTTAGTGGCTAAAATATAATGCATTTTAAAGTTATTCAATGGTTCAACCTCGACCAACGCAATTAGGCCAATTTTTATAATTTCAAATATATATTATGTAATTATTTAATATCATAATGATTAAATTATAGTGTATATTATAGGGAATCGTTTGGTATTTGTTAGTAAAAAACTAAACAGAAAGATCTATTTCGTTATTTTTAACATTAAAACGATCCTAAATATTTTTAGTTTCCTTTCGAAATTCTATAGTTTTATTCACGAATCAGTGATTTGCAAATGGCGAATTGCAGTAATCTCTTTTCTTTCATTAATTTTTTATTTTCAAATAGAAAGTTTAAAAGTACAGAATAATTAGAGTGGCATGGGTCGGTCAAACAGGCTGAATTTTAAGTTTTGGCCCGTTTGAATCAAGTCTAATTTATAATCACATGGTTCCCTGATACCCGATAAAAATCTCAATCTAAACCAGTTTGGCAGGTGAGTCCGTGTTTGCCACCATTTTATAGGGATACAGGAACAGTGGTTCCTATCCCATATCGTGTTGTTCATTCTTTATTTCTTGAGATTTTATCATGGCTTGACAAAAAACCAGAAAGCACAATGATGACAAGATGAAACTTTTATAAAGCAAATTAATCGGCCAACGGGCCGAGTAAAAGCTAGCAACGATTGTGAGATGCTCATTTCCCGAAAACCGGCAGGATATGCGATTTTTTATTCGATTTTTTGGAATTCGGTTTCTATAAAACTTACTCCACCTCATCATATTACCAGAAACAATATTGTTTCACAAGGTAACAAGTACTTGATTTTGGTTCATAAGGCTGATTTTTGATTCGTTGCATCATTCATGTCTCTTTCCTACTAAAATTCACTATTTTTATCACGTGTTTCCCAAAAAAAATATACAACAATAAGCTATACACCCCATTACATTATCTAATTTCATACCTCACCTTCCTCCGGCAAATGGCCGGGGCCCACGCTATTTTTTCTTATAGCAAAATAACACTATAAGATTGTCAGGAACTGGTAGGAAAGAATCGATTGAAGGCGTGAATTAATCACTCTCCTTAGAGTGTTATTTGCCCCCACTACAAATTGCTGGTAGGCTTGAGCAAACCACCCTCATGAGTCCCTTCAATTTTAAGTCTGGAAGCAGCAATCTTGCAGACTTCTGTGGCTATGAAATAGAGAAAGAAACGGAAAGAAGAAGGAATCTCTCCTATAATAAAAAGAGTTATGGCAGTCACATATTTATAGTTGTGAAAATTGGAAGTTACCTTTCGAAGAGTCACATCCTTTCACAGAAAAGGTAGTTATCTTTATGAAAGGACACATCCTTTCACAGAAAAAAAGGGAGTTATCTTTCTGGAAGGACACTTCTTTTCACAATATTCAAACGTTAATTAATTAATATAAAATTAATTAAATTGCCAAAAGACTCCATCTTTATAATTTACTTCTCCCATCAATTTCGTATTACAACTCTATTGACTAACTCTAACAACTCCCGGTGTACCACATAGGTTATACACCGCCCCAATTAAAACATGACACTTGTAAATTTTTGGCCTCCACTGCCGTCGTTCGTCGTTCATTGCAGCAGCTCCATTGACAGCGTTCCTCGCCGACGTGAAGCCTCTTTTACCGATTCTTCCTGACGGAAGCACCGGGAGCACCCAAGAAATCTTGGCTACTCCTGGTGTACCAGACAGGTTGTACACTGCCCCAATTAAAAACGTGTTAATCTTTGATTGGAGCGGTGCACCCAAGAAAATTAACTGATACTGGAAAATTAAGTGACTATTTTTATAAAAAATGAAAACTAATAATAAGTGATCAAATTGTTAACAACCCAAAGTCAAATGACCATTTACGACAAACACGCGCAATTGTTGAAAGAAACAGAGGGAAACGTTTCTCATTCCAGAAAAGGAATTAGGGTTCTACCGTCGTGGCTCCATTTCCCTCTGTTTCTACCCTCCTTTGTACAGATAGAGAAAATACTTCGGTCAACAGTTGTTTGTTGTGAAGGCTGAGAATCGATCTCTCTGTGGCGATTTGGTGCAGGGGAAGAGCAAGGATGACGACGCGACTCCGTGAATCCACTGCTGATAGGATTAGCAACCTCCCCGACGGCGCGATTGAGCGGATTCTGGTGTTTTTGCCGATAAAAGATGCAGCTAAAACCAGCCTCTTGTCAAGATACTGGAGACATCGTTGGAGAAGTATTCCTCAACTTGTGTTCGATGATAGGTTTGATCCACTTCCTGAAGCAGATGATCGGAAGGTAGTGATGAAGATTTACGAAGCTCTGCTGGCTCATGATGGGCTGCTGACTAAGTTTGAGCTCTCAATTCCTGGATATTGGTGCAATCTTCCGCTTGATCTCTTGATGCTTCACCTTTCTAGGAAAGGCGTCCAGGAGCTTACGCTTACCCTTCTCGTTGAGGGCGAGAATTACCCCAATTTGCCTTCCTCCCTGTTCTCTGCAGCCTTTCCCCTGAAGCGTCTTAAACTGAAGGGTTGCGAATTCAAGGTACCATCTGGGTTTGCAGGATTTAGCAAGCTTACTTTTCTCCAATTGGAAGACGTGGGTCTGCCCGACGGTTTCTATAAGAATTTCATTCCAAAGTTCCCGCTGCTGGAAGAGTTGAGGGTTACAGACTGCGGTGATTCAGAGCCTGTGTTTGAATCGCATTCTCTCAAAGTTCTTTTCTTCCGCTCTAGCTTTTATAAAATTTGCTTCAAGGATACCCCTGTTCTTTCGGTGCTATCAGTTCTAGATATAGGCGGCGATTTGTTTTGTGGGATAGGAGAACCCTCTGAGGATGATTATTTGGATATGGTCCCTTTGTTTGCCTCTCTCCCTGCACTTCAGCAGTTGAATCTTGGCATTGAATTGCTACTAGTAAGTTAATTTGTTTCATTGCTTGTTCTTTGGTTACCTCCTCCTATAACGGGCTTCTCTAATCATTTCCATGCTGCTATCCCCAGTTGCTTGCTGCTGGTTGTGTCCCCTACCGGCTGCCTACAGATCTTCACCACTTAGAAGTCCTGGCAGTACCTCGTCTTCTTTTGGATAGGTTGTCACAGGCCCGGATTCTTGTTTGTCTAATCATGAGTTCGCCCAACTTGCAAACACTCACCATTCAGGTTCGTTTTCTTAAGACCTTAAACGTCTCTTGTACGAATTACTATATATGTGTATGGCTGTTGAGTGTCAACTCGACAGCTTAAACCTGTACGTTGATGACTGTTTTTGTAGATTGATGATGATCTTCATCATCCGCCTTCAGAGGTTGTTGCTGGCCTACAACAGTTGTTGGAAGCAGATGACCAACCTGGAGTTTGTTGCCTTCAACATCTTGAAGAGTTCAACATTCAGGATGGCCGTGGTATGCAAGTCGAGCTAGACTTGGTGAGGTTTGTACTCGCCACTGCCCCGAAGCTTCGTAGGATCTCTATTAAGCCGCACGATAAGCTGTCTTCTGGAAAGGTTTTGAAATTCTTGAAGAATGCAGCATTATGTAAACGTATTTCCAGAGATGCTGAGCTTAGATATGTCTGTGAAGATGAAGATGAAGATGAAGATGAGGATGAGGATGAGGTCGAGGATGCTACGATGTCGCCTTTACATTAGTACAACACATTAACAAGTGTATGGGTAGATTTATTTTCAGTCACACCATGACTCGAAGAGAATGATTTGTTCTTGTTATTCTAGTCACTGCCCCAATCCTTGCCCTTGGTTAGATATTCATTAAGCTTGAAGTTAACTTGTCCGCTGTAGAGGGTATGAAACTCCTGAAAGAGGTGACATTATATAGCGCATTTTAAAAGGGGCAGATGCCAGATATCTCCAGAGTGAATGAGATCAATATACGTTGCAGCTTTACCTCTCCCACTCACCCTTTGGGTTGTTTTCCACCTTTGATGGTGCTTGATGTTTAACTTTTCTTTCTCTCTTGTTGGCAACTGATGTGATCCTGCATGATCAAAATTACTCGCCTTGCCTTTTACCTCCTTGCTTCTCGTTCCTTCCATGAGTATGACTACTTGACAGAATCTAAGAGTTTGTTACAGTATTTATGGCTTGATTTCTCTGGACAAAGATTAGCAGGGGAGAGAGAACGGATTTTGTTGATTATTTTGTTCTAGGTCCCGTTTCACGAACTTGGATTCAATTGCAGAAATCTAGCAAAGATGATTTGTTGCTCGCTCTTGCATCAGGACGGCGTTCTTCCTCTAAATATCTTTTGGCTTTTACCGTCATGAAGAAGTACGACCATTTGTGTATTATGCAGCCAGGAGGAGGAGTCGAGCGAGCACTTGTATTTTCAATGCTCGTTCTCCAAAGAAGTGGCTGCTTGCAGAGTAAATTTCCCAATTCCTCTGCAGCAGACATGGGATGGGTGTTTGGAGGATGCTTGTGGGCGAATTAAGGGGAATACTGTGATTGGCAGGGTATATGCAGTACCATAGTACCATGGAGTGCATTTGTAGCACGTATTTGGTATGAACGATGTAATCGTTGTCATTGGGCAGCTCTTATAGCCCCTGAGGAGATCTTTAGGCATATTAATACCAATCAATAGTTCAATATCACCATTGTATAGACTGGTAAAAAGTGCCTCCATTTTTTTTTTCAAAAATATATAAAAGTGAATATTATTTTTAAAAGCACAATTAATCTGATTTATCTGTGCAAGAAATTTAAATTTTGTCTTAAATCGAGAGACATATCATTCGTTAAAAATTAAAGGGGAAAAATTAAAGCTTTCCATGAAAGAGAAGTAGTGTTGATGTGGTGGATTTTAGTTGGGTTACTTATGGTTACTCACCATATAAGAACTTCCTGCAAGTTACGATGAGAATTAGGAATGATCAATTGGGAGAGATGGACCAACATTTTAAAATGCTGGCCTTCTTCCCAAAATGCCCCCACCCCCAGGAACAACCGTAGTGGTGAAGAGAGGCAATGGGGTGAAGATGGACATGTGGCTGGAAGGAAGGGTGCGGCGAAGAATAGTCTGAGTTTCTGGATTGATTTTGGTCGAGGAAGAATAGGGATTTGGAGTAGGGGTGATAAGAGGGCACGTTTGGCAGAAACAAAAATCTTGGGTCCGAATTTTGAAATACTTGGAGATTTGCAGATATTTCTAATTTCTAGTTGGGCCGAATTTAAAATTTTCGGTGGCCAAATCCTACATTTTTTTAGAGTTATCGAAACGAAGGAATGGGTTGAAATTCAGGATGGACCTGGATTTGGGCCAAATCCCGAACCACATTTCTGGATCTAAAAGACCCTTTTTGATTATTTAAAATTAACTAGTACTGTAAAGTTAAGTGACTGTTTTTATCAAAAATAAAAAGTAAGTGATCAGGTTGTTAACAACCTAAAGTAAACGACTATTTACGACAAACACGCGCAATAGTTGAAAGAAAGAGAGGGAAACAGTCATTTCAGAAAAGGGGATTTGGGATTTAGGGTTCTACCGAAGTGGTCAATTTCCCTCTGTTTCTCTCTCCTTCGTAGAGATAGAGAAAAAGGCTTCGATCAACAGTCGTTCATTTTGTGAAGGTTGGGAATCGATTTGGTGCAGGGGAAGAGCAAGGATGACGACGCGACTCCGTGAATCCACTGCTGATAGGATTAGCAACCTTCTCGACGGCGCGATAGAGCGGATTCTGGTCTTCTACCGATAAAAGATGCAGCTAAAACCAGCCTCTTGTCAAGATACTACAGACATCGTTGGTAGTGATGGCAATGGAGCGGGGCGGGTACCTCAATTCCCATGCCCCGCCCCACGCTACTACGGGGCGGGGCGGGTAAAACCCGTGCGGGTACGGGGCGGGGCGGGTCGACCCACTCTTACATGTTGTTCAAAAAAAATACAAGTAAATTTTACTTTTTACAATAGGGAAAACACTTTAAGAATGAAAAATATTGATAATAGAATGGATAATTGAGCCTAACAAGTTGAAAGATCGACTCTAACTAGTTGAAGAAAAGTCAAAATAGGAGAAATATCTATAGATATTGTAAGAAATTGACATAAAATGAGTCTAGAACGGGGCGGGACGGGGCAGGGCGGGTCAGAAGTAGATACCCATGCCCCGCCCCACGCTACTGCAGGTCGGGTAATACCCGCCCCATCGCGGGTCAGGTCGGGTAATATCCGCGGGGCGGGTTGAAATTGCCATCACTAATCGTTGGAGAAGTATTCCTAACTTGGGAAATGGATAAAGTGAGTAACCTTATGGTTAGTAACCATAAGTAACTCGTTCACATCAGCATGACATCACTAACTCTCTCTCTCTTCTGGAATGTCTTTTATCTTTTCCCCTTTAATCTTTAACGAACGATTTCTCTCTCGTTTTAAGTCGAAATTTAATTTTTTTTGCACAGATAAATTAGATTAAATGTGCTCTTTAAAATGATATTCACTTTGATAAATTTTTAGTTCAAAAAAATTGAATAATTTTTTACCAGTCATTACCATGTGGTATGCTCATATTTAATACCGTATGGTAAGAAAGCGTACCATGATGGTATGAACATACCAATATGGTAAGAAGGTTGAATACATTATAGTAGGAGTATACTAACTGTCATTTACGACTTTCATCATTGTTTACCACAAGTTACCACCCACATACCATAGTGGTAAAGTATGGTAATTTTTTGTCCAGTATATTTTTCGCCCAGAAATTTGTAGATCCAATAGATCATGATGAACTCGTTCCTTCTGAGCAAACGTTTTAAAAAACGACTTAAAAATGAAGAAGTTAACATATGGTATGTAGTTGGTAAAAAAACGTTTCTCGAAATATATTGAAAATTGATATCATTTTGTAGAGCACAACGAACTCGTTCCATGTGTGCAAAAAAAAAAAATTGAAATCCAAGTTAGAATGAACAAGATAAGAGCCGGTTATGAAAACTAGAGAAAATAAAATGTCTTTAATTGATCACCCTTAAATCTGGATTTCATGGGCTCATTTAGATCTAAAGGTCCAAATTTAGTTATTTATAGGTCAGTAACTATTGGTTACTGACCTTATCCTAAGCCCTCAACTTGTGTTCGATGGTAGGTTTGCCCCACTTACTGAAGTAGATGGTTATGGTAATGTAGCGGATGATGGAACGGAGGTCATGATGAAGATTTACGAAGCTCTACTAGCTCATGATGGGTCGTTGTCCATTTTTTCCCTTTATGGTGCTTCGTCTTATGTTTTGTTTTCTAGTTTGCAAATGATGCGAGGGTGCTCGATCGAACTCAGATATTTCGTGGGTTCGGGTTTTGTTGCCATCTCTAGTTTAAATGTAGAAAGTTTGTAGGGTGATTGTTATCGTTTGAACTTAGAACAGAAAAAGGAGGTTGCTCTTAGTTGTGACTACTTACTTACTAGCATTGTTGTTGTGATCCAAATCCGAAGAGAATCTTCAAACTCGGATGATATGACCAAAGTACGCAGCCTTACTTCTTTTTAAGGATTTTCGAAGGTTTTCTTGAATACGAAAATAAAGATAGATGCGGAATCAATCGGACAATCCCAACTCGTGACAAATGGCAATTGGTATATTAAACCAATCGGACAGAATCAACTCGTGGAAAGGGGCAATTGATATAGGGTAGATGCTCGCCACAACTAGACGCGTTCTCTAGTTGATAAGAGACACGTGAAACTCCTGGAAACTCTCGACAGAAGCTTGCACAAACGTTCACAAGCGAACACGAGTAAAAACTCTTAATTGATAACTTGAATATTGGGTACTAAATTGGTAGGTCTCACATCCTCTATTTATAGAGGTCTCAAAACATAAAACTAAACTAAAAGAAATAGGAAAATAAATCCCAAACTAAATAGAAAGCATAATACTAATTAAATAAGGACTAAAACTACTAATTAAACTCCTATATAACCAAAACAAATAATTAAATAAACTAAAAGTAACACCGCCGCTCGCCTTTCCTTCTCCGTGGCGGAATTGTGCTTCTTTTAAATGCCCACGTTAATGCAACTTCACATCTCCTTGATCCAATTAAATCATGTAACCAAATTCCCAAATGAACACACGTGCCCAGAATAATGCCCTCTTGTTTTTGTACAATTCCAATTGCAAGCTTCCTTCCATGCCACGTCACCAAACCAAAGCCAGCTTTTCACTTTAAGACTTGCCAGTTGCCATCCATTCTTTCTCTCGATAATCAAGCTGCCGCCACACTACTTCCATGCAATCTTGTAATAATAAAATCCCAGCAATGCATTTTAGAGTTCGTTTCGAAGTTGCGATTGTTAAATAAATGTATTGTTGATAATGCATGTATAATATTATACATGTATTGTCGAATTTGATGCATTGTAGAATACAACGTTTGGTATGTGTGATTGTGTATGTTGCATCAGCTAAAAGCTGAGACAAAACAATCTCAACTCAACTATCTCAACAATCACAACTAAAAGTTGAAATATAACAATCACTCAAAATGAGTGATAGTTTCTGTCACATCACAGAAACAATCTATGTATTGTTTATGCTAAAAAACAAAAAAACGATGCATTGTAAACAATACATGCATAATGACAATATCAACAAAACTATCGCAACTTCCAAACGACCCCTTAATGTTTTATGCACAGTAACGACTGTCGAGTATAATTCGATCCATCAAGAACGCTCCTAATTGATCCATATATCGTCGAATTTGAATTTTCATTTTCGGACCATGAGAATTGAATATTGTGTGAGTCGATATCGCATCAATTGCTTTGTATCTTTGCTTCTCACCTAACGACTAGTTGTAGAGAAAAAGTTACACTGAATCTTATACCACTTTCTAACAAGTAGAACGTATACATGTTGACTAACGGTAAGCCGGTAATCGGTTTACCGTTGTACCGAACCGGTAACCGACAATAAACGGTATCCAAGTGTAGATGGTGGGAATTCGATTTACCGGCCCCAGTTACGATAAATACCGACAGTAAGTCGGTAATACCGATATCGGGGTCAGTACACTGCGTTTAGGTTTTAGTCCAAACCCCTCCAAAGTTCCAAACCCTAAAAACGAGTAAACGACCCCTTCGGCGCCCTTTCCTTCGTTTCCAGTTTCTGTTCGCCCTTCCGTTCGTCTTCGCCTCTCCTCCGCTTTGCTTCTCGCCTTCTCCTGTCTCGAGTCTCGACCGACGAGACCACGTTGCAGCACCCCAAATCGAAATCCAGACAGCGACGATGGCGACGCCAGCCTCCCAGTTCTCCTCCTTCCTTCGTCGACGCGGCGACGCCAGCCTGCAGCATCTCCTTACGGTAAATTGGTAAAACAGGTTTGTAACCGTTTACCGAAAATACGATAACTGGTAAACCGATTACAAATTGGTAACGGTAATGAATTTTTTCCCTCCCATGCTCGACATACCGTTTACCGGTACCGGTTACTGAACAATTGTCACCCCTACCCAAAATGGCCCCAATTGTCAAGTTTGGACGGCAATTGAGAAATGATTAATTGATTATTTAAAATTAACTAGTACTGTAAAGTTAAGTGACTGTTTTTGTTAAAAATGAAAAGTAAGTGATCAAGTTGTTAACAACCTAAAGTAAAATGACCATTTACGACAAACACGCGCAATAGTTGAAAGGAAGAGAGGGAAACAGTGGGTAATTAGCACAAAAGGTCACAAATCTATGCACTTAGTACAAAACGGTCACAAATCTTTAATTTTGTACGTTTCAGTAACAAATGTTTGGACGAATAACGAAAATGTCATTCCGTCCATTTCCATCCAAAAAACCCGTTACCCATACCTAGTCAGCGTGCCACGTCATTTAAAATATTAATAAAAAAATAATGATCAAACCCAATCAACCCAGACTCAATCCAACCAGTTGCCGACTCAACCCCTGTACCTCACCGCATCAGATGGGAATCCCTGACAGTTGCGGCTGAACCCAGTACCACAATCCCCAACGCACTCCCCACGCTGCTCGCCACCGCCACTTTCCACACTGTTGCTCTCCCTCCTTCCCCGTCGTTAACGGTGTAGATGCTGGACTCCACGCAGACGATAACTTCACGACCAGCCCTAAATGCGCGTTGGATGTCGAACTCATACTTCAGCTGAAATTGGGGGCTTCAAGCTCACTGTCTTCCCATCTCCCTAAAATATCACACAGAGGATTGATAACGTGAATATCAACAAAGTTCGTTAAATTGATGGTGATGGGGTTTCCTGGGGTGGAACGGATCCCGACCTGAAAAGGGTAGTTGGAATTGGGGCTATTGCTCATCTTGCCGTCCGGGCATGGGTAGAGCAAGACTTCGATTCTCAGGCGGAATTCGTCGATCAGGGCGCCGTGGCGTGTCAGGCTGCCGCACCGAAACCTGGCCGCGTGAGACATGACGCCGGAGAGTTGGGAGTTGAATTTTCTTCACGGAGCTGAATTGCGAGATTGAAGGCGACCTTTATCATTACAGCGCATGTCAAGGGATTTAGATAGGTGAGAGAGGTAGGTTGGACAGGGGATAAAGATTAAAGCATCCTTCGTTTACCCTTCTTCTTTTTTGGCAAGGGTGTTTCTAAAGCACCAGAAGAAACGAGAGTCTGCTAAGGTTTGGTCTATGTCGATTGGGAATAAAGGGAAATATGCAATTTTTGGGATTCCATTGGGTGCAAAGGGAAGTTTCGTCGGACTGGAGATTTTGGGAGATTGAGGAGATGTTTTTGGCGGAGGTATTGTCGATGGTGGGGTAGACGACGGTGATGTGGGGTTTGACTCGGCAACCGGCTGGGTTGATCCTGGGTTGACTGGGTTTCATTCTTGATTTTTTTTATTAATATTTTAAGTGATGTGACATGCTGAATGAGCATGATTAACGGTGTTTTTGGATGGAATTGGACGGAATGAAATTTTCGCTATTCGTCCAAACATTTGTTACTGAAACGTGCAAAATTAAAGATTTGTGACCGTTTTGTACTAGTGTATAGGTTTGTGACATTTTGTGCTAATTACTGGGAAACGGTCATTACTCATTTCAGAGAAAAGGCCATTAGGGTTCTATCGTTGTGCTCCATTAGTCCATTTCCCTCTGTTTCTCTCTCCTTCGTAGTGATAGAGAAAAAGGGTTCGGTCAACAGTTGTTCACTGTGGAGGCTGAGAATCGATCTCCTGTGACGACTTGGTGCAGGGGAAGAGCAAGTATGACGGCGCGGCTCCGTGAATCGACTGCTGATAGGATTAGCAACCTTCCCGACGGCGCGATAGAGCGGATTCTGGTGTTCTTACCCATAAAAGATGCAGCAAAAACCAGCCTCTTGTCAAGAGACTGGAGACATCGTTGGAGAAGTATTCCTCAACTTGTGTTCGATGATAGGTTTGCTCCACTTCCCGAAGAAGATAGTTGTGGTAATATAGCGGATGATGGGAAGGATGTAGTGTTGAAGATTTACGAAGCTCTGCTGACTCATGATGGGCTGCTAACCAAATTTGAGCTCTCTATTCCTGAATTTAGGCGTCAAATTCCGCTTGATCTCTTGATCCTTCACCTCTCTAGGAAAGCCGTCCAGGAGCTTGCTCTTCTCTTAGAGGACGACAATTACCCCAAATTGCACTCCTCCCTGTTCTCTCCAGCCTTTCCCCTGAAGCGTCTTAAACTAAAGGGTTGCGAATTCGAGGTACCATCTGGGTTTGCGGGATTTAACAAGCTTACCCTTCTTGAATTAGAAGATGTTGTTTTGCCTGACGATTTCTATCAGAATTTCCTTCCCTGCTGCCCGCTGCTCGAAGAGTTGAGGTTTATCGGTTGCACCGGTGAAGAGCATGTGTTTGTCTCGCCTTCTCTGAAAGTGCTTTTGTTTCACTCATGTCTTTCTAAAATATGCTTCAAGTATACCCCACTTCTTTCGGTGCTATCAGTTCTAGACACTAATGAATATACTTATGAGGCAGGCTCCTTTGTGAAGGATAATTCGGATATGGTTGGCTTATTTGCATCTCTCCCTGCGCTTCAGCACCTCAATCTTGGCATTGAATTGCTGCTAGTAAGTTCAATTTTTCCCTTTGTGCTTAGTCATTAATTACCACGGGCTTCTCTACTCGTTAACATGCTGCTCTCTGCTTCCTTTACCTAGTTCCTTGCTGATGATGATCATGTCCCCTACAAGCTTCCTAAACCTCTCCACAACCTGAGATTCCTGGAAGTACCTCGCATTCTGTTGCATAGGTTGCCACAGGCGCGGGTTCTTGTTTGTCTGATCATGAGCGCCCCCAACTTGAAAAGACTCACAATTCGGGTAGGTTTTGTTGCGAATTGCTACTTCTCTTTGCATGATAAGTATGGCTGTAAAGAACCATATCATTGACATAGGTTCCGTGATGAATATTGTTGTAGCTCGATGATAGTGGTGAACTTCCGCCTTCGAAGGTTATCGGTAGCCTGCAGAAGTTGTTAGAAGCAGAGGACCAACTTGGAGTTTGCTGCCTTCACCATCTGGAAGAGGTCAACATTCATGACAGTCTTGGCAGGCAAGTCGAGTTGGACCTGGTGAGGTTTGTTCTAGCCTCTGCCCCAGTACTTCGCAGGATCAACATTCAGCGCAAAGAAAAGTTTTCTTCTAAAAGGGCTCTGAAATTCTTGAATGAGATGATAGTATATAAGCGTATTTCAAAAGAAGCTGAGGTCAAATATGTCTAGAATGATGTGGTTGATACTTTGTCGCTTTACATCTCACCCTTTGGGTCGTTGTTCATCTTTTTTTATGGTGCTTCGTCTTATGTTAATGATGTGAGGGTGCTTGATCTAACTTAGTTTAAATGTAGAAAGTTTGCAGGGTGAAAGTCCTTAAGTCCTTAAGTCCCTAAACTCCCTCCCTCCTCCCTCCTTCACATCTGTTTCCAAGCTTTCCATGAAATTCTATTCTTTCTCTCTTTGCTGCCTCCACCAGAAAGCAAATATTACTCTTCTACTTACATCAAAGACCCCATTAGGAACTCTGAACACTGACATAGCCTTTATGAGCTTGAGCTATAGCCTTTATGAGGACTTCTTTAGCTGCTATTGAAAGGGACTGGCTATTCCAATGCTTTGTTTTCTTCCTTACACGATCAACAAATAAGTAAACTTTCTTGTGTCGTCCAATTGTTGTAGGCAGCCCCAAGTATTTTGCATGTTCGATCACCTTTTTCATTCATAGAATGGTCACCAATTCCTCCACCTTGTCTGCTTTTACACTCGGAGAGAAGCTGATTTCATATTTAAGTAGGTTAACCTTCTGCCCTGATTTCAGTTCATTGAGCTCTAGGATCTCTTTTATTTTCAAACATTCCTGAGGTGTTGCTCTTGCAAACAGAATGCTATGTCTGGAACGCGTAGATGAGAGATAGTTGGTCCCCTGCAGGAAACCTTTAGCCCATGGTTGTGCCTCTATCAACTTCTTGTTTAATAATAGTTGAAAGCCCTTTCACACATAGTAGAAATAGGTAAGATAATGGAGGATCACCTTGCCTGAGTCCTCTTCCCGGTTTTAACTCTATTGACCTATGACCATTAACCAAGATGGGGAATGTTACAGTTGTAACACAGCTCATGATTAGGCTTACCCATTTGGTGTCGAAACTGAGTTTTAACATTATTGATTCTAGAAAGTGCATCTCCACCTTGTCGTGCGCCTTTGATATGTCAAGCTTAGTTGCCATCACCTCGTTTTTTCCTTCTTATTCTTAATCGCATGAAAGCACTCAAAAGCAATCAGTATGTTGTCTGTAATGTTCCTCCCCGGTACAAATGCTCTCTGGTTCTCCCCCACCACCTTGTTTAAGATTCGTTTCAATCTGTTGGCCAGAACCTTTGCCATGATCTTGTAAAGGACTTGGCAAAGACTGATAGAGCGAAACTCTAGAGGTTTCTTTGGCTTCTTATTCTTTGGTAAAGTGCAATCTGAGTGTGATTGACCTGTGCCGGGAAAGTTCCCATCTCTACTCTCTAGGTAGAGCGTCAGAGCCTTAGTCACCTTGCCCTGACTGTTTCCGAAAAAACATCGCTGACATACCATCCGGGCCCGTAGTCTTAGTTGGACCCATCATTTTGAGGGCTATCGACTGGGTCTGGATCCCATCAGTAACCATCAGGTGAGTAACCCCATGCATAACCCAATAAGAATCCGCCACATCAGTGTCTCATTCTCTCTCTTCGAGAAACCTTTAATTTTCCTTCCCTTAATCTTTAACAAACGAGATCTCACTCGTTTTAACTCGGAATTTAATTTTTTTTTTGCACAGTTAGATCAAATTAATTGTACTCTTCAAAATGATATCCACTTTGATATTTTTTGGAACAAATTTTTTTTTGTCAATTATTACCAGTCTATACCATATGGTATTGACTGCACCATATTGTATTGACTGGTATTAAATAACAACATACCATATGGTATGAAAAATACCACTCCATACCAGGGTGGTATAGTATGATATGAAGTTGGTAACGAGAGGTATGCAATTTTTTCACCTAGAAAATTTTGGAATCCAATAGATCATGATTAAATTGTTCTTTCTATGCAAAAATATCGGAAAATGACTAAACAATGAAGGAGATACCATATGGTATGGAGTTGGTAACGATAAGTACGAAAAAAAATTCTCAAAAAATATTGAAAATGGATATCATTTTGCATAGCATAACGAGCTCGTTCCATATGTGCAAAAAAAAAAAAATTTGAAATCCGAGTTAGAATGAAGAAGATATGATCCAATCAAGAAAACTAGGGAAAATAAATTTCTTTAATTCTCTACTCTTAGATTTGCAACCACTTAAAAGAATGGTCGAGATTTGGTTACTCATAGTTACTCATCCTATCTTGAGCCCCATCAACCTCCTCACCTGTGAAAGGGAGCAAGAGCTCTTGGTTCATGTCCAGTGTCACCTTACATTCAACGGTCGAGAGAATCTTACTCGTGTTTGGTTGTTCTCCTAGTGATAAAAGGCCTTTATAGTAGCGAAATGAAAATCGATATCCGGTGCTGCTTTTGTGCAGGGGAAGAGCGAAAGTATGACGAAGAGGCTCCGCAACTCGACTGCTGGTAGGATTAGCAACCTTCCTTGCAATGTGATAGAGCGGATTCTGGTCTTCTTACCGATAAAAGCTGCAGTGCAAACCAGCCTCTTGCCTAGAAACTGGAGGCATCGTGGAGAATTACTCCCCAATTTGTGTTCGATGAGAGTTTTCGAAATGGGCATGATGAGAACAAGCTAATGGTGGATATTTACGGGGCTCTACTGCTTCATGATGGGCCAATAACCAAGTTTGAGCTTGCAATTCGTGGATCGACAGTAGAAAGTTCACAGGTTGATAGGTTGATTCTTCACCTTTCAAGGAAAGGTGTTAGGGAACTTGCCCTTCAGTATTAGTGCTTCCACTACCCGAAGCTGCACTCCTCCCTGTTTTCTGCCTTCGACCTGAAAGCTCTGAAACTGGAGCGATGCCATTTTGGTGCACATCCCTCCTTTGTCGGGTTTCGTAAGCTTAGGTATCTAGAATTGAATCTCGTAATCCTGCCGAAAGGTTTCGCTAAGAATTTCCTTCCCCAGTGCACACTGCTTGAAGAGTTGCGGGTTTCAAACTGCATCAATTACAACCATGTATTCATCGAGCCATCGCTCAAAGCGATTCGCGTCGACCTCCCGTTCTTGTCGAGAATTTCCTTCAAGTATTCCCCACTACTTTCTGTGCTATAAGTTGTAGAAAATGATGCAATTCCCATTAGCAGCTACTCCGCTGTGAAGTACGAGCTGGATATGGTTGCGCTGTTTGCTTCTCTACTTGCACTCCAGCAGCTGACTCTTGGAATTCAATTGCTGCTGGTAAGTTTACAAACCTTTTGTTTCCTGCAGCAATTGAAATTACTTGCTTTTCAAAAAGGCTCCTGCTTTTCTCTTGACAATGCCTTGCTTCTATTTGTTTGCTTTCCGCAGTTCCTTGCTGAGGGTCATGTCCCCTACCGACTTCCTGCAGCTCTGCACCGCTTGAAAGTCCTTGAAGTACCTCGTATTCTGTTGGACAGTCTGCCACAGGCGCGGGTTCTTGTCTGCCTGATCATGAGTTCCCCAAACTTGCAAACGCTCACCATTCGGGTTTTTTTTTTGTTGTGAATTGCAACTTAGTAGGGTATGTATGAGTAATACGTTTGCTGACTATATAGCCTTGACTTGTTCCGTGATAAATGGCTTTGTAGATTGATCCTGAAGATGGTGGCAGTTCAGTTCGCCTTCAGACGTTATTGCTAGCCTACGAAATTTGTTGGAAGCAGAGGATCGACCGGGAGTTTGTTGCCTTCAACATCTTGAAGTGCTCCACGTTCAGGATAGTCGCGGTACACAAGTCGAGTTGGACTTAGTGCGGTTCGTTCTCGCCACTGCTCCACAACTTTACAAAGTGTCTATTAAGCCTAACGTTAACTTGCCCTTCGAAGAAGGTATGGAATTCTTGAAAGAGGTGGCATCATACAAGCGTATTTCTAGAGAAGCAGAGCTCACGTATATCGATGAATGATGAGATTGTCACTTTGTAGTTTTACCTCTCACCAGTTGGGTTGTTGTCCATCTTCTTTGGGTTTGCTTCGTCTTACGTTTTATTTTGTAGTCTGCAAATGATGTGAGGGTGTTTAATCAAACTTAGTTCAAATGTAGAAGGAGATATGAACGTTATAAACTTGTTGAGTATCAATAAACAGTAATGCATAGTTCTTCCTCTCGGAATTTTTCGTTTCAAGGCTCATAGTAATCTACATAATAGAATTCTTTTTTGCTTCATAAATCGTTAGAGAATGCGCGAAGGTTACTGATTCTATCAATGGTGCACGAAGCAAGTTCATGGTTGCTATATGCTACACATCTTTCATGAATCCAATCAACGGAATTATGGCGGGAATGATGAGTTTGAAAGTGACGGAGAAAGGAATTGATGAGAGAGCAAAAATGATCATTGTGTAAAGTTGAAGTGACTGTTCTTGTGAAAGAGAAAAACTAAGGGACTAATTTATTAACTACACAAACTCAAGTGACCGTTTACTATACAACCACGCAAATTGGCGAGAGAAAAGAGAGGGAAACATTTGTCTGGATGTTCCTCATTTAAAAAATTGGGGATTAGGGTTCTTCCGTCGAGGCTCCATCTATTTCCTCTGTGTTTCTTTTAGGGATGGCAATGGGTCGGGTTGGGTCGGGTTTTGCCAAACCCAAACTCATGGGTTTATCCGTGAAAAAAATCCGGGGTAAAATTCACTGGGTTTGAAAAACTCAAACCCAACCCAACCCGCTGAGTATCCGTGGGTTCATGGGTACCCACAGGTTTTTGTCGTAAAAAATTTATAATAACAAGTTTCTATCAAAATTAAAGTCAAATATCAATCTCTCAATACAAATTATCCATATATAAAACACCATTCTAGAAAATTCAAGCAAATAACAAATTAACTATACAAATTGTTCAACACCAATCTAGAAAACTCAAGAAAATTGAAGCAAATCACAAATTATCCATAAATTACATGATTAATTGAAAGCTTCTTCCTTTCAATTAAGTTTCTTCACTCTCCACTCGATAACATCAACTTTATTCTACACAATTTGAAAGAAAAAATTAGACATGTCTCCATAAACATAAATAAGATTATTGTTTAGAATATTAAATATACCGAGAAAATTAACTATATGGGTGTGAGCGGGTATCCATTGGTCGGGTTTACCTAAACCCAAACCCAACCCAACCCGTTGAATAGTGAACGGGTTTAAACCCAAACCCGGCCCAAAACCCGTCAACACGGATTTTACCCGCATTGACCGGATTGTGTCGGGTGGGTACCCGTGGGTTCGGGTTTTGTTGCCATCCCTAGTTTCTTCTCCTTCAGAGAGGGAAATGCATCCAATCAATAGATTTCGTTGTGAAGGCCGCGAACCGTTCTCCTAAATTGATTTTGTGCAGTAAAGAGCGAGGATGGCGACGCGGCTCCGCGAGTCTACTGCTGATACGATTATCAATATTCCCGACGGCGTGATAGAGCGGATTCTGGTGTTCTTACCCATAAAAGATGCAGCGAGGACCAGTCTCTTGTCAAGAGACTGGAGGCATCGTTGGAGAAGTATTCCCCAACTTGTCTTTGATGATTATTTTGCTCCAACCCCTGCAGGAAACTGTTATTTGCCGGATGAGAATATGGTTATGATGCAAGTTTACGAAGCTCTAATGGGTCATGATGGGCCAATAGCTAAGTTTGAGCTCTCAATTTCTGGAATCAGGAACCCTAATGTTGATATCTTGATGCGTTACATTTCAGGCAAAGGTGTCCAGGAGCTTTCCCTTCTCTTTTGGGAATGCCATCATCTCCAAGTGTATTCCTCCCTGTTTTTCGCCTTACCCCTCAATCGCCTGAAGCTGCAGTATTGCACTTTTAGTCTGGCATCTTCGTTTGTGGGGTTCAGTAAGCTGAACCTCGTCGAATTCAATGATGTTTTTCTGCCTGATAATTTCTATGAAAATTTCATACCGAACTGCCCGCTGCTTGAAGAGTTGAGGGTTTTCGATTGCATCGGTACCGATCCTGTGTTTGTAGCGCCGTCTCTCAAGGTTCTATTATTTCGGTCGGGGTTTGAGAAAATTTGCTTCAAGTATACCCCACTTCTTTCAGTGGTATCAGTTCTAGACACTGAAGAATTTATGTATGATGATGATTACTTTGTGAAGCATAATCCGGATATGGTCAGCTTGTTTGCATCTCTCCCTGCACTTCAGCACCTCAATCTTGGCATTGAATTACTGCTAGTAAGTTAAATTTTGGCTTCTGTTTGCTTGTCCATTCACTGTGACAGCTAGCTTCTTCACTCAATCTAATGCTGCTACGCTATGTGTGGTTGCGTTCCCCAGTTCCTTGCTGATGGTCATGTCCCCTACCAGCTTCCTACAGCTCTCCACAACCTGGAATTCCTCGAAGTACCTCATATTCTTTTGCATAGGTTGCCACAGGCGCAGGTTCTTGTTTGTCTAATCATGAGTGCTCCCAACTTGCAAAGACTCACCATTAGGGTTGGTTTTGTTGTGAATATTGTTACTTTTTCTTGCATGATGCCGATTGTTGGTAACCCTATCTTGACATGTTGTTCCTTGGTAATCCTTGTCTTAGCTTGATGATGATCTCAGACATCCACGTTCGGAGGTTATTGCTAGCCTACAAAAGTTGTTGGAAGCAGATGATCAACCTATAGTTTCTTGCCTTCAACATTTGGAAGAGTTCAACATTCAGGACAGTCGTGGTACGCAAGTGGAGTTGGACCTGGTGAGGTTTGTTTTAGCCACTGCCTCAGTACTTCGCAGGATCTCCATTAGGCGCAAAGAAAAATTGTTGTCCTCGAAAATGGTTATGAAGTTCTCGAATGAGATGTTATCATATAAGCGTATTTCCAAAGAAGCCGAGGTCAAATATGTCTAGAATTATGTGGTTGGCACTTTGTAGCTTTTACCTCCCGCCTTTTAAGTCGCTGTCCATCTTCTTTGATGCTGGTTCGTCTTTTATGTTCTCTTTTCTAGTTTGCAAATGATGCAAGGGTGCTTGATCCAAGTGAGTTCAACTGTAGAATGTTTGAAGGGTGTTTGTTATTGTTAACTGTAGAGTGGCCTGTTATTAGTTGGGACTTACTTCTAGCATTGCATTTACCTCTTTGCTTATTAGTCCTTCCATGAGTATGACATCTTCCGATAAAGAAATCAGCATATACTCATTTCACAGGGTAATAATGAATTCCTTCAAAATTAACTTTGTTTGAGAAAATCAATTGTGAATCACCTATATCAATTATCAAGTGCATGTGGCATTATTTATTTATTTGTTTATATATCCGGTTTGAATTGGAATTCACCAATGATAAAAAAAATTTGATAGAGTAAAGTTTAGTGATTGTTCTGTTAACAATGAAAATTAAGTGACCGAGTAGTTGATGACCCAAAAGTCAAGTGACCATTTATAACAATACCCCACTGGCGCGAGTCTGATAGTAAAAGAGGGAAACCATTTGTCTCGGCTTCACACTTCATAGAAAGGGGTTAGGGTTTTTTTCCGGCGTGGCGGAGTTAGGGTTCTTCCGGCGGGACTCCATCACGTTTTCTCTCTGTAAATTCTTCTCTTGACAGAGTATGACTGCTGATAGGATCAGCAACCTTCCCGGCGATGTGATAGACCGCATTCTGAAGCTCTTACCCATAAAAGATGCAGCGAGAAGCAGCCTCTTGTCAAGAAGCTGGAGGCATCGTCGGAGAAGTATTCCTCAACTTGTGTTCGATGGTAATTTTGCTCCGCTCTCTGAGAAAGATGTTTACTTGCCGAATCTGAAGAAGGTAATGGTGAACATTTACGAAGCCGTGCTGGTTCATGATGGGCCGATAACCAAGTTTGAACTCGCAATTCCTGGATTTGAATGGTGTCCTCAGGTTGATCTCTTGATGCTTTGCCTTTCCTGCAAAGATGTTGAGGAACTTACCCTTTTCTTTTGGGGTCCTGGAAACCCGTACTCTAATTTGCATTCCTCTCTATTCTCTGCCTTCGATCTGAAGCGCCTGAAACTGCAGTATTGTCAATTTTGTCCACCATCTGGGTTCACGGGATTTAGTAAGCTTACCTTTCTCCAATTGGAAGACGTGGGTCTGCCCGAGGGCTTCTTTGAGAATTTCATTCCGAAGTTCCCGCTGCTGGAAGAGTTGAGAGTTACAGATTGCGACGATACAGAGCCTGTGTTTGAATCGCATTCTCTCAAAGTTCTTTTCTTTCGCTCTAGCTTTCTGAAAATTTGCTTCAAGGATACCCCTGTTCTTTCGGTGCTATCAGTTCTAGATACAGGCGATTTATTTTGTGGGGAAGGAGAACCCTCTGAGGATGATTATTTGGATATGGTCCCTTTGTTTGCATCTCTCCCGGCACTTCAGCAGTTGAATCTTGGCATTGAATTGCTACTAGTAAGTTAATTTGCTTCATTGTTTGTTCATTAGTTACCTCCTCTTAACCTAACTGGCTTCTCTAATCATTTCCATGCTGCTATCCCCAGTTGCTTGCTGCTGGTCGTGTCCCCTACCGGCTGCCTGCAGATCTTCACCACTTAGAAGTCCTGGAAGTACCTCGTCTTCTTTTGGATAGGTTGCCACAGGCCCGGGTTCTTGTTTGTCTAATCATGAGTTCACCCAACTTGCAAACACTCACCATTCGGGTTTGTTTTCTTATGAACTTAAACTTCTCTTCTTCGAATTACATATCTGTATGGCTGTTAATTGTCAAGTCGATAGTTTTAACTCTTGATGATTGTTTTTAGATTGATGGCGATGGTGATCATCCGCTTTCAGAGGTTGTTGCTGGCCTACAACAGTTGTTGGAAGCAGATGACCAACCTGGAGTTTGTTGCCTTCAACATCTTGAAGAGTTCAACATTCAGGATGGTCGTGGTACGCAAGTCGAGCTGGACTTGGTGAGGTTTGTGCTCGCCACTGCCCCAAAGCTTCGTAGGATCTCTATTAAGCCTCACGACAAGCTGTCTTCTGGAAAGGTTTTGAAATTCTTGAAGAATGCGGCATTATATAAACGTTTTTCCAGAGATGCTGAGCTTAGATATGTCTGTGAAGATGAAGACGAGGATGAATATGGGGTTGAGGTTGAGGATGCGGATGATAATTAGTAGCGTTTCCTTTCAGTCTTAGTTCTAATGTAGAATGTTTGAATTGTTATCGCTCTTGTTAAAAAACAGGCTGTTTTTAACTACTAAGTTGTGACTAATTGCTAGCATTGTTCTGCCTCTTGGCTTCTTGGTCCTTCCATGATGAGCATGACTTATTTGTATAAAGAAACCAACAGACTTACCCAACAGGCTAGAGAGTTTGTTTAAGGAACATTTTGGAAAAATTCAATGATGGGTAACCATTTGATAGATTAACCGAGAAACTAACGCACAAGGTGAGGATCACTATCGAAAGAATGAGAAAGTACAAAGACAGAGTCCTTATATATTGTTTGTGCACATTAGGTCAAGCACAGTCTTGCGTTTTCAGCCTTTCACTCGGTCTCTTCTCCTTCGTCCTAATTTGATCAAGAAACTCCGCCTCTTTGTGTTGATTCAGCACCTATAGGTCAGAGCCACATGAAGCGGCTCCGCGAGCTGAATGCTGCTCGTGGGATTAGCAGCCTTCTCGACGATGTGATAAAGCGCATTCTGACGTTCCTACCCATAAACGATGCAGCAGCCAGAATCAGTCTCCTGTCAAGAAACTGGAGGCATCGTTGGACAAGTATTCCTCAACTTGTCATCCATGCTATTTTTCCTCGGCATGATTTGGTGGACAAGGTAATGAGTAACTTTTGCCAAACTCTGATGGGTCATAATGGGCCAATCACCAAGCTTGAGCTCACAATTCATAAAGTTGATCCCTTGATGCATCACCTTTCAGACAAAGGTATACAGGACCTTACCCTTAACTTATGGGACGCCGGTGAAGCCCCTTGGTTGTATTTCTTCCCTCTTCTCTGCAGCCTTTCCCCTGAAGCGCCTGAAGCTCCAGTACTGCAAAGTTAGAGTGCCATCTTGACTTAACTTTAGTTGATCTGCCGGATGGTTTCTAGGAGAATTTCCTTCCGCTCTGCCCCCTGCTCGAAGAGTTGAGGGTTTTTCGATTCCAGTGGTACCGGAGGCCCGATTTGATACTACCCCTGTCCTCTTTTCAAAATATAAATATATTATTAATATAATTAAAATCAATAATATTCAAATAATTCATTTATAAATAAAGAAATAACCAACTAATAGAATTGATGTTTGGATAAACAACTATGACGAATTTTCATATTCTCAAAGCAATGTAAAATACATTCGTTGTTTATACTCTTAAGTAAGCCTCTTTCAATGTATCCTATTAAACAAGCATTAGCAAACTGATCTTCAATCCGACTTCGAAACTTGATATTAGTATAGTTCAAGCTAAAAATGCTATTTCTACACTTACAGATGCAACGGGTAGAATCAAAATAGTTTCAGAAGCAATTAAACTGACGAATATGACTTACGTACTTTTGTCTTCATCATTATTCGAGATAATTCATCAATTTCTTTCAATTAATGAAATCTCATAACATCATGATAATACCCAACAAGCTATTGTTAATAATTATTATGAATGTAACAAATAGATTAATTATTTTTTATTAATTATTAAATAAGTAATGAGCTATGATGTAATGGCAAAATATCCTTATATTACTTGTCGGTGTTGTGTACACATATACGTAGGGTAGTTTTACCAACAAAATATTATCCCTGTCCTGGGACAAGGGCAATATAGGCTGGCTCCGGGCGCCAATGAATACCAAATTGTTAAGGAAAAAAAGTCTGATTTTCCATCTACGTGAATACCTTACACTCTTACGTGAATAACCTTACCATAGTATTACGTGAATAACACCAAATGGGGTGAATAAATAAAAAAATACATAAAAAAGTTGTCCTTAGATGTGTTCTGTCGTGACAACAAAACTTTTCCATGAAAGAAAAGGGGGACTAGGGTTTCTCCGTCGTGGCTCCATGCTTTCCTGTCTGCTTCGTTCTCCTTTGGAGAGGGAAATAACTTCAAACAATAGATGCTCGCTGTGAAGTTGAGCTGAGAATCGATCTCCTGGGTTGATTTTGTGCAGCGAAGAGCAAGGATGGCGACGCGGCTCCGCGCTTTGACTGCTGATAGGATTAGCAACCTTCCAGGAGATGTGATAGACCTCATTCTGGTGTTCTTACCCATAAAAGATGCAGTGAGAACCAGCCTCTTGTCAAGAAGTTGGAGATATCGTTGGAGAAGTATTCCTCAACTTGTCTTCGATGATAGGTTTGCTCCACTTGCTGAAAATAATCCTTATGGTAATTTAGCGAATGAGAAGGAGGTGGTGATGAAGATTTACGAAGCTTTGCTTGCTCATGATGGGCTGATAACCAAGTTTGAGCTCTCAATTCCTAGATTGGGGAGTGACCCTCCGCTTGACCTCTTGATGCTTCACCTTTCTAGCAAAGGTGTCCAGGAGCTTATCCTTCTCTTTGAGGACGGTGATTACCCCAAATTGCACTCCTCCCTGTTCTCTGCTGCATTTCCCCTGAAGCGTCTGAAACTGCAGCGTTGCGAATTTAAGATACCACCTTGGTTTGTGGGATTCAGCAATCTCACCCTTCTTGAATTGGAAGATGTTGATTTGCCTGACGATTTCTATCAGAATTTTCTTCCATCGCTGCCCGCTGCTCGAAGAGTTAAGGGTTATCAGTTGCACTGGTGATGAACATGTGTTTGTAGCGCCTTCTCTCAAATTGCTCATGTTTCACTCGTCTCTTCTTAAAATTTCCTTCAAGTATACACCACTTCTGTCATTGGTATCAGTTCTGGACACTCATGAATATCATTATGCCGAAACCTCCTATGTGAGTTATGATCCGGATATGGTCGGCTTGTTTGCTTCTCTTCCTGCACTTCAGCACCTCAATCTTGGCATTGAATTGCTGCTAGTAAGTTCAATTTTTTTCTCTCAGTCAGTACTTAGTCGTCACTTAGCACTGGCTGCTCTACTAATTAACATGCTGCTCTCTGATTTATTTTCCTAGTTCCTTGCTGATGGTCATGTCCCCTACCAGCTTCCTACAGCTCTCCAGAACCTTAAATTCCTCGAAGTACCTCGTATTCTTTTGCATAGGTTGCCACAGGCCCGAGTTCTTGTTTGTCTAATCATGAGTGCCCCCAACTTGGAAAGACTCACAATTCGGGTTGGTTTTGTTGTGAATTGCTACCTCTTTTGCATGATTGGTGTGGTTGTTTAAGACTTTGTTTCTTGATCAATACTTTTGTAGTTGGATGATAGTCATGAACATCCACGTTCAAAGGTTATCACTAGCCTACATGAGTTGTTGGAAGCAGAGGACCAACCTGAAGTTTCTTGCCTTCAGCATCTCAAAGATTTCAACATTCAGGATGGTCGTGGGACGCAAATCGAGCTAGACTTGGTGAGGTTTGTGTTCGCCACTGCCCCAATACTTCGTAGGATCTCCATTAAGTTTGAAGATAAGCTGTGCTCTAAGAAGATCCTGAAATTCATGAAGAATGCAGCATTATGTAAACGTATTTCTAGAGAAGCCGAGCTTAGATATGTCTTTGACGATGCGGACGAGGACGAGGACAAGCACGAAGATGAATATGAGGATGAATATGGGGTTGAGGATGAGAGTGATAATTAGTAGTGTTTCCTTTCACCCTTTTGGTTGTTGTGAGGGTGCTTGATCTAACTTAGTTCTGTGAAGAATGTTTGAAGTCTTATCGCTATTGTTAAAAAACAGGCTATTTTTAAGACAGAGTTTCGTAATAACTTCTGTTCTGTGAAGGAAAGCAATTAACTGTTATAATAATCCTAATAATATCTAACTTGTACAACAAGTAATAGGAAAAAACCAAACCAATTAGGAATAGGAGTGCGCATACTTCAACAGTTTGGTCCTTATATATTGTTTGTGCACGTTAGGATACATGCAGTTTTGTCCAAACAGGGGCATATATGTGACAAGCAAACAGTCTTGCGTTTAGGTTTCCACTCCGCCTCTTCTCCTTTGTCAAGGAACTCTGCCTCTTGTGTTGATTCAGAAGCTATAGTTAAGAGCCACATGAAGCGGCTCCGCGAGCTGAATGCTGCTGATGGGATTAGCAGCCTTCCTGACGTTCCTACCCATAGAAGATGCAGCGAGAACGAGTCTCCTGTCAAGAAACTGGAGGCATCGTTGGAGAAGTATTCCTCAACTCATCTTCGATGTTAATTTCGTTGGGCTCGATTCGCGGGGAACTGAGCGCATTTACGAAGCTATGCTGGGTCATGAGGGGCCAATAACCAAGCTTGAGCTCACACTTTATGATGTTTATCCCTTGATGCGTCACCTTTCAGGCAAAGGTATACAGGACCTTACCATTCGTTTTGAAGACGACACCAGTGGGTACCCTCGGTATCAGTTGCATTCCTCCCTCTTCTCTGCAGCCTTTCCCCTGAAGCGCCTGACGCTCCAGTACTGCAAAGTTAGAGTGCCATCTTGCTTTGAGGGATTCAGGAACCTGACCCTTCTTGACATAGCTTTAGTTGATCTGCCGAATGATTTCTATGAGAATTTCCTTCAGCTCTGCCCGCTGCTCGAAGAGTTGAGGGTTTTCGATTGCACCGGTAAAGAGCATGTGTTCGTAGCGCCTTCTCTCAAGGTGCTTTCATTTAACTCGACTTGTCAGAAAATTTGCTTCAAGCATACCCCACTTCTTTCAGTGGTATCAGTCCTAGACAACAGTGTTCCTCATGAATATGTTTTCGAGGAAGGCCCCTTTGTTAATGTTAATCTGGATATCGTCAGCTTGTTTGCATCTCTCCCTGCACTCAGAACGCCTCGATCTTGGCGGTGACATGCTGCAGGTAAGTTCAATTTATTTCTAAATAGTTTGTTCATTGGTTACCACTGGCTTCTGTACTCATTAATAACATGCTGCTAAAATGTTTCCTTTTTCCCCAGTTCCTTGCTGATAATGGTCATGTCCCCTACCAGCTCCCTAAACCCGTCCACAACCTGAAATTCCTCAATGTAGCTCGCATCCTTTTGCATCGGTTGCCACAGGTTCGGGTTCTTGTGTGTCTGATCATGAGCGCCCCCAACTTGAAAAGACTCACCATTCAGGTGGGTTATTTTTTTTTTTTTTTACCCCTTTCTGTTGTGAATTGCTAATTTCTCTCGTATGTATGATTAGTGTTGTTGGGTGCTCACACTCTGTATCCTTAACTTGTCACTTGATGAATGATTTGGTAGCTCGGTGATG